TGATGAATACGGATGCCAAAATTCTCAATAAGATACTAGCAAATCGAATTCAACGGCATATAAAAAGAATTGTTCACCATGATCAAGTGGGATTCATTCCTGGGATGCAGGGCTGGTTCAACATTCGCAAATCAATCAACGTGATACATCACATTAACAAAAAAAAAGAGAAAAACCATATGATCCTGTCAATCGATGCAGAAAAGGCCTTTGACAAAATCCAGCACCCTTTCTTAATAAAAACCCTTGAGAAAGTCGGGATAGAAGGAACATACTTAAAGATCATAAAAGCCATTTATGAAAAGCCCACAGCTAACATCATCCTCAACGGGGAAAAACTGAGAGCTTTTTCCCTGAGATCAGGAACACGACAGGGATGCCCACTCTCACCGCTGTTGTTTAACATAGTGCTGGAAGTTCTAGCATCAGCAATCAGACAACAAAAGGAAATCAAAGGCATCCAAATTGGCAAAGATGAAGTCAAGCTTTCGCTTTTTGCAGATGACATGATATTATACATGGAAAATCCGACAGACTCCACCAAAAGTCTGCTAGAACTGATACATGAATTCAGCAAAGTTGCAGGATACAAAATCAATGTACAGAAATCAGTTGCATTCTTATACACTAACAGTGAAGTAACAGAAAGACAAATAAGGAAACTGATCCCATTCACAATTGCACCAAGAAGCATAAAATACCTAGGAATAAATCTAACCAAAGATGTAAAGGATCTGTATGCTGAAAACTATAGAAAGCTTATGAAGGTAATTGAAGAAGATTTAAAGAAATGGAAAGACATTCCCTGCTCATGGATTGGAAGAATAAATATTGTCAAAATGTCAATACTACCCAAAGCTATCTACACATTCAATGCAATCCCAATCAAAATTGCACCAGCATTCTTCTCGAAACTAGAACAAGCAATCCTAAAATTCATATGGAACCACAAAAGGCCCCGAATAGCCAAAGTAATTTTGAAGAAGAAGACCAAAGCAGGAGGCATCACAATCCCAGACTTTAGCCTCTACTACAAAGCTGTCATCATCAAGACAGCATGGTATTGGCACAAAAACAGACACATAGACCAATGGAATAGAATAGAAACCCCAGAACTAGACCCACAAACGTATGGCCAACTCATCTTTGACAAAGCAGGAAAGAACATCCAATGGAAAAAAGACAGTCTCTTTAACAAATGGTGCTGGGAGAACTGGACAGCAACATGCAGAAGGTTGAAACTAGACCACTTTCTCACACCATTCACAAAAATAAACTCAAAATGGATCAAGGACCTGAATGTGAGACAGGAAACCATCAAAACCCTAGAGGAGAAAGCAGGAAAAGACCTCTCTGACCTCAGCCGTAGCAATCTCTTACTCGACACATCCCCAAAGGCAAGGGAATTAAAAGCAAAAGTGAATTACTGGGACCTTATGAAGATAAAAAGCTTCTGCACAGCAAAGGAAACAACCAACAAAACTAAAAGGCAACCAACGGAATGGGAAAAGATATTTGCAAATGACATATCGGACAAAGGGCTAGTATCCAAAATCTATAAAGAGCTCACCAAACTCCACACCCGAAAAGCAAATAACCCAGTGAAGAAATGGGCAGAAAACATGAATAGACACTTCTCTAAAGAAGACATCCGGATGGCCAACAGGCACATGAAAAGATGTTCAGCGTCGCTCCTTATCAGGGAAATACAAATCAAAACCACACTCAGGTATCACCTCACGCCAGTCAGAGTGGCCAAAATGAACAAATCAGGAGACTATAGATGCTGGAGAGGATGTGGAGAAACGGGAACCCTCTTGCACTGTTGGTGGGAATGCAAATTGGTGCAGCCACTCTGGAAAGCAGTGTGGAGGTTCCTCAGAAAATTAAAAATAGACCTACCCTATGACCCAGCAATAGCACTGCTAGGAATTTATCCAAGGGACACAGGAGTACTGATGCATAGGGGCACTTGTACCCCAATGTTCATAGCAGCACTCTCAACAATAGCCAAATTATGGAAAGAGCCTAAATGTCCATCAACTGATGAATGGATAAAGAAATTGTGGTTTATATACACTATGGAATACTACGTGGCAATGAGAAAAAATGAAATATGGCCTTTTGTAGCAACGTGGATGGAACTGGAGAGTGTGATGCTAAGTGAAATAAGCCATACAGAGAAAGACAGATACCATATGGTTTCACTCTTATGTGGATCCTGAGAAACTTAACAGGAACCCATGGGGGAGGGGAAGGAAAAAAAAAAAAGAGAGGTTAGAGTGGGAGAGAGCCAAAGCATAAGAGACTGTTGAGAACTGAGAACAAACTGAGGGTTGATGGGGGGTGGGAGGGAGGAGAGGGTGGGTGATGGGTATTGAGGAGGGCACCTTTTGGGATGAGCACTGGGTGTTGTATGGAAACCAATTTGACAATAAATTTCATATATAAATAAAATAAATAAATAAATAAATAAATAAACCCAGATATCTGCCTCCCGTACTCCTCCCAATGCCACCTCATCTCCCCCGCAGGCAGAAGGAGAAAGAAAGGATGCATGCAAGAAAAAACTAATTAGCAGTAGCCAGCACTTACCGAGTGTATATTATATGCTGGACACTATGCTAACATTCTCCACTCGTTATGATATCTTTCTAATTAAAAACATTTTTTTTAATGTTTATTCATTTTTGAGAGAGACAGAGACAGAGTGTGAGCAGGGGAGGGGCAGAGAAAGAGGGAGACACAGAATCCGAATCAGGCTTCAGGCTCCAGGCTCCAAGCTGTCAGCACAGACCCTGATGTGGGGCTGGAACTCATAAGCCGCAAGATCATGACCTCAGCTGAAGTTGGCACTTAACCTACTGAGCCACCCAGGCACCCCTTTTTAAAATTTTTTTAATGTGTATTTATTTTTGAGAGAGAGAGAGAGAGAGAGAGAGAGAGAGAGAGAGAGAGAAAGAACCATATACTTGAGGACCTTAAAAGGAGCCAGTTCAAGCCAATGAGAGCTCCCTTAATTTCCAGGGAGATGCTCCCAGCCTCCCCTCCAAACACACACACAGTCAGAGTTTAGTTCACCCCAGAAGAGCCAGCCAGGGGTAAGTCTGAAGTCCTGTAGTTTGAGAACTTGCTTGAAGAAAGATGACTCTTAAAAAGACACCCAACCCCAGAATTTACAATCAAGAGAAACCTGCTGGGTGTTGATACTGCTTCACCTTTCCAAAGGACAGGTTTTAACCTACCTTTTGCCTACAGCCACCCAATCTGGGTCTTCTCTGTTTGAGAAACGGTTATTTCTGAATCAAGAAATGAGGTTCATTATGAAAAAGGTAGAAATATTTAGTATGGATAAGACCCACCCTATTTCAACTGAGGTTTCATGGTTCACATGGAATGACATGTAAGCCTAGAGCCACATCTTCATGGAGAAAAAGTGCCATCGCTCATCAGTTACCACCAATGGGGGAAGAAAGAATGGGTAGGCCATCATAACTCCTTCAATAATACAGAACACCCATGCTGATCATTTCAGTCGTGGGATTTTTAAGCTGAAAGTGACGTTGGAAGCCATCTCTTCCAAACTCCTGAGTTTACAAATAGGGAAACTGAGCTTCTTCGAGGTGGGGCACATCCTTCAAGACCAGACCAGAACACCAGGGCTGTAATCCTCATCCAGTGCTCCTCTCAGTTCACTGCACAGCCAGCCTTTGACCGTCACCTATTAGCTTTCCTCTTTGACAAAAACAGCCTTTTTTTACTTTCATTTTTACAAAGAAAAGGGATGCCCCCTTTTGGTTCTAGGTTCACGAATGCCACTTACTTTTTGTGGGCGGACGTTTTCTTCTCCGCTGCCTTTGGGGATTCCTGATATACTCAAGCCAAAGTCAGCGCCCTCCATGGGAGTATTATTGATAGGCTCCTGGGGAAAGAGGAAGACAGCAAGAAGCCAGCTGGGGAAGCAAGTTCCACATGCTGGTGGAAAATGCCTATTCCGGCATCCAGAATCACACACTGGGTATCAGTTCAGTAAACGGGAACCTCATGTGTCATTCGGCCACTTCTGTGCAGACCCAACAAGGTGAATTCACTGTCTGCCTGTGCCATACGGGAAGAGCTGTCACCAGAAGCTACAGGCTTTGAGCAGTTTTTCCGGTGGAGGAAACCGTTGTGCCTCAACCCATCCCCGTTCACACTGGCTTGCCTGTTCTCCTATAACGAGGTATCTGAGGCCAGGGGTGGCTGAGTTTGGAGGTGGAGCTGAGTCAACAGTCAACTGCTTCCTGCGGATTCCCCTGCACCACCTTCGGCTCCCTTCCACCTGAGCCAGACTGCAATGGCCAGAAGTGTACAACCTCCTCGAGAGTGAGAGTTTCCTTCTGACAATTGAGTTTCACGAGGACTCCTTTCTCCCCGGCCAGGGATCTCTGACACTCTTTCTTCCCATTCTTTTTCACTATTTCCATTAGTTCTCTTTCCTCTGAAACCTGGTATGTTTGTTCTGACCCAAGAGGTTGGAGGTATGAATCCCCTGAGTTAGAAGCCATTGATTTCCCCCGCCTGCTGGGCTCTGTCCTCTTGCTGACCACCCTGCCCCCAAGATTGTTTTGCGGGGAGGTCTGGAGTAAAGACCAACCATTTGTGTTTTGGAGAAACCCAGCCATTCCTGAGGCCATCCTTGACTTAGTCTTAAGAGTCCAGGAATGTGCTTTGGGACAGGAAAGATGTGCCACCTATAGTTACCTCAAATGGGATGATTGAGCTCTGTAGCAACCAGCCCCCTGCTCTGACTGGACCCAGGGCTTACCCCTCGAGGACTGTTTCCCAGTACTCCAACCAGGGGGAAGGCTGGCGGAAGGAAGGAGACTTCCCACTCGAATTAAGAAACATTAGGAAGGCTAGAGATTTGCCTGTGGTTTTAATTCAGTATACTGGAAGAAAATCTACAATGTGACAAAATCACACAAAAATGAATAAATGTGACTCTTTTCTCAGGGCTATTTCTCAGCTATCTGCAGTTTTACCAATACCAGCAAAGCCATCCAGACCTGTTTAGGATGCTCCTTATGGACGGATTTGGCATCCCCTGGCTTCCCCACCATGGTTCTGGACCGTGGCCTCTGCTGACTGATCTTGGGAAGATTTTGACAACTGTCGCTCATCACCCTAGGGGAGGGAACAAAGACCCTGGAGGAAATTATTCAAACCATTTAATTTGAGGTAACTAAACAACCTGTGTAGCCAACTTAAAAAGAGTTCTAGAAAGATGTGCAGATGTGGCACCATTGGGCCCTTCCATTTGCACTGTCCTGACACCCTGGCCGCCTGGCTCTGACTTGCTCCACTCTACCCCTTGGGTTCCTCCAAGAGCAAGCTAGAGGGTCCACCTCCTTCTGGAGGCCCCCAACCTCCTCTTCATTTTCCCTTCAAGCCACCTGGCTCCAGCTCTTCTGCCGGTAGCTCTGTATTCCTAAGAACACATGACTTTTGCAAGCATTTTCCAACGTTTCTTCCACCTTCCTTAAAGAACAGTATGCAGCCCAGGGGTCACGTTGTGGGGAGGAAGGAGGAAGCCTAGGGATTTGCCTGTAGTTTTGATCCAGTGTGCTGGATGTACTTAAAATAGTTCTCATCAGGCTGCGTACAGCCAACATGGAAAGGTGCTCACTTCAGCAGCCCGTATACTAAAACATCGAAGGGGCTAGTGCAAGGGAAGCAACCCTTACCTCATCTCTGTTGTCACAGATCTTCATATTTGCCAAACAGATTTTCACCAAATATTGTTCACTTAAGGCAAAACATATTGATGGGTCTGGACGCCAGACAGTGGCTACCTCTCTTGGAGATGGGATGCATTGATCTGGAAGAGAGCCTGCTGGGGGGCTGGGGTGGTGGCGCATACGAGAGTCTATGGACATTTGACTGCATATGTGTTATATGCATCAATATAAAGGTAAAATAAAGTTGTTCGCTAGGTCCTTGGAACGAGAAATTCAGTTTTGGAAAATTAGCAGATAGGAGATGACATCAGAGAAAGGCAGGACTGCTCGGGGGGCCGACCGTGAAGTGCCACATCTGAACTTGTTTGGGTTTTCTCCATTCCTTTGTCCTTACGTGTAAGATGTGTTTGCAGGAGTTTTGCTGGAAGTATTTCTCCCCTGTCCTAAGGGGTCTCAGAGAGCATCTATTTCTCCATTTCTTTTTGGGAAAGGAGGAGTTGTATCTAATATAAACACCTAGCCAGCAAAAGACCACCCATGCCAATAATAACGCCAGCGTCCACACACGATGACCCCGGTGTTGGCCCACTGGGGTGGGTATCATAAGAGGTGGACAGCTGACAGTTTCTCGGAACGTTGTTTTTCATCTGTAAACTAGGAACACAAACGTCTGTCCCTCAGGCCTTTGGCTGGCACAAAAATGAAGTGTCTATGAAATGAATACCAAACATGTTACAAGTGCAAACCCTTATGAATAGCACCGATTTAAATGCAATGAGGTCATATATATACATATGTAGTGAAGCTTGCCTAACGTCATTGCAGGGCAGACAGGGAACAGGGAGTCTGTTTTCCTGCTTTGATTTCCCTTTGGAGGCAAGTGGTTCACAGATCTGCTTTAACACGATCAGAGACAAGTTCCTAATGTGCAAAGCAATGTGATTCATTCCCAGTCAGCTCTAATGATTGTAAAATTCATCCTAATATGGGACCAAATCCACCCCGCTATAATTTTAGGTGCCCCTCCTGAGTATGCCCTGTGGAATTCTACAAAGAAGGCTCAGTCCCTCTTTAGAGGGTGAAGACTGGTGCCGTGTTGTTCTAGGGGCACCGCCTCCCCATGAGTTCCAGTCTTCAAGCTAACCCTCTCCAGTTGCCCCAATCATTCCTAAGGTTACCTGGCTCCCAGATTCATCCTCATCCTGGTCACCTTTCCTTTGTCCACAGTCTTCTGACCACAACAGAGTCACCTCCTATTTTGGGGACACTGTATTTCTATCAGTGAGGCCCAAGACCACATTAGCAGTCACATCACACTGTTGTGATCACCCTCACACCTTATCTGTTGTGAACTCAGATTTCTAGGTCCCTGATTTTGTAATGAGGGAGCTATTTGTCATTAGTCTTTGGTTGGAGCTTACACCTTATTTCATTAAATTTCATTGTGTTATTTTGGGCCCATCTTCCAAATTGTCCAGATTTTTTGACATCCTAATTCTGTTATCCATCACATTAAATAAACTTTCCTCCACTGAGTTATCTGCAAATCTGTAAACTGGGAGCTTTGCTCTCTGGTGTGAAATGCAAGCATTAGGAAAAGGCACTTTCATTTGTTAATAGCCAGTCTCATGACACAACCTTTCATTTCAATAGCTATCTTCAATTACAAAATTGTAAACAAACAGCATTCATTACTTTCCTAATTATCCTTCCCGACTCCAGCCATTTGCTGTCTGACCTTTACGCCTGCCACGTACAAACGTTTACTCAGAGACGAGCTGAGGACACCCAAGCTGTCAAGCTGCCTCCCTGAAGAGAAGCAAAGTGCTCGAAAGACATTCACTTCTGGAATGTCCTCCTAGGTAAGGAATGCTGGGGAAGTTCCAGGCATGAATATGTGGCTGAAACATAATCAGAACCCAAATGCATGCCAAAGCTGGCTTCTTTAAATGCTCCTCGCTTTTTTGGTTCAAAAGTAGTTATCGTTTGTTGTCAGAGTCTGACTAGCTTTATGGAAACTGTAAATAAATGGATAATGCTTTGGTCAAAACGATAAAATTGTTCCTAAAGAATAGTACAAAACAAAGTTAGCCTCAGGCAGAGCATTATTGAGAGTATTATCATGAGGCATGCATGGGTGCTTGCTACGTGTGGGGACCTCACTGTGTGTCAGAAACTTGCTCCAAGCTTGTGAGGAGCAGAGCCAGGAATTGAACCTGGGTCTTGCACTCTCTGAGGTCCGTACTCTTCATAGCACATAGCCTTGAAAGAGCACTAGTGAATGCAGTTATCTGTGGTAAAACCAGGAGAACCCATAGATGTTGGCTCATGTCTTGGACGTCTGTAACGTGTGGGGAACCCATTGCTGGGCCCACTAAGGTCACATGATCAGTCTGCAATTGCTGGTAGACAGATAGGGAACCGAGCTGGAGAATCTTCTGGAAAGGGATCCCACAAACTCTTAGAGTTGGGTTGGTCGAGAGGAATTACCATTCACTTTACCTTCTGGTCTTCCCTCCACTTCTTTGTGGTAAATTATTTTCCGCTGTAGCAAAACAAATATTGGAGGAAAAGGAAAGAATTTAATTTTTAAGAGAAAGTGATTTTTCAGATATGTTTGCCCTTTTACATTGTTCTCAAAATTTGTGCTATAGCCTTGTGGGGTCCAGGAGCTCTAAGCTATTCTCATATAGAAAGAAGTGAAACTACCAGCAGAAGGAAAGAAACCCATGTTTCCCAAGCATTTCTGCATGGAGAAAGACCCCAAAGCCCTTAGCTATTAATTGAGTTGGAGACCATGAACCTGGTGGCAACTTCAGTGTGGGCCAACTTTACGGTTACCATTACATTAAGTTTTCATGAACTTGACACCATTTTGCTGTGGTCCGTGGGACACCAGGATGATTGCATGAACACTTACCAGTCGTACTCTGCCAGTTTACCTTAAAATAAAGACATTGTGTCTAATATCCCAGGAGAATATGGTTCCAGGCTAAATCAGAACCAGCAATCTAGAAATTAGATCATGTCAGTAATAGTCCTGGTGGCCCAGGAGTCAGTGCTTCTCTGCCCAAACCCAGACCCAGCAACCAGCCAAGGACAGGGAGCTCTGAACTCTGCCCTGGAAAGGAGCTCAGATAAATATCCCTTCCAGCTCAGAGATGCGCCCCCGGCTATTTTTAATTGACATTCCTCTTGGTTTCCTGGTCCCCACATGAAATGTTAAAGTCTGTGGCTTAACAAGTGCCTTGTAAACAGGACAATGATCTCCCTTGGTTTATAATTACTTCCCCCACTTACAGACTTCCAAGTCAATGTTACTACAAAACATAGGGCCCTCGCTTTAGATCTTTCCTCCAGCCAGCCTCCTTGACTGCTAACCTATACTGGGTCTTTGCATTATATTGATCATTATCTGGATTGATGGCTTTCAAAAGCATTTCATTATCTATACATGAGCTATTAGCTTCACCAATACTCATTTTCATGTTATTTTCAAGATAGATAATAGGTCTTCCTAACAACAACAACAAAAAGTCTTCTGTCTTTTATCCTCTTCCAACAGCTCTTTCCATTTTTAAAGAAATGAAAGTAACGTTGGTCTTCTAAAAAGCACCTGTGATGCACTGGGGTTTTGCGTTCATTGTCCTAAAACACACATACCTCAAACAAATGCCACCGTGACTAAAGGGACATCACTGCCTGGCCGATCATGTTTCTATTTCTGTACAGGATCTGATACAGGCTATACAATCTTTCTGGTCTATTCTTTCAGTGTGGGGAGGGGGAGAGTAGCATCTATCTGAGAATAAAATGAGGAAGAAACACTAATCTTAAAGATGAGAAAAAACCTTATTTCTAGAAAATAGCCATGTACCTGTGTCTGATGCCTTTTTGACAATTTTGGGGTATTTCTGAAATTTTACAAAATAATAGCTCTCATATTCCATCAAAATAGTTTCAAGGTCGATGTTGTCACAGACTTCAAAGCGTCGTAACCCCAGTTTAGTTTCTTGCTCCAAAGCATTGGCTGCATCGATATATCTGGCCATTTCACAGAAGAAAAAACAACAACAAAAATTAACTCTGGGTAAAAAGAATAAAGGCAAACAGGCATTACAAGTCCACAGAGACTCAATACAAATATTAAGCTTATATTAAGCAGTATATTCGATGAAAATTACAATATATGAGGTTTGCCTATAGAAGGAGCCCACATATGTTAAGTATATCCAAGTACTGTTTTTCAAACCAGTTGCCTCTGGAAGCTACATACTTATTCTAATGATGTCATCGTTGTTCAAAACATTTTTGGAAGTGCTTAGAAGTCAAATAAGTAAATCGACTAAGAAAATGTCCTGTGTTTTCTCATTTCTAGCCAAAATTGAGTATTTGCCCAACTTGATTACCTCTTTATTCACCAGCATTAATTTTAGATAACATCTGGCAATTGTTAAACCCAAATTTAAGCCCAAGAGGCAAGATGTGCCATGATTGTGGCAACTGAAAAGCATAGGTCATGAGTTCTAAAGGAAATTCCAGAAATATGTTGATCAATATCATCAAGGAGATTGAGTATAAGAAGAAGTCATCTGCTGGGCCATGTTATTTCTGGTCATTTTTCTTCAGTCACACATCTACACTACCCGGTGACTGTGGGTAGAAGCATGATCTTCACCGGGGTTCTTCACTGTCACTTTGAACCTGTTGTTGTCTCAGCAATCCTGTGTCTCCCAATCCTCTGAAAGTGGAAAGACTTTCCACATTTTAATCTTAGTTCTCAACTTCTTATGAAACCAAAGACTCTCCTGAAAAATGGGCAAATACGCCCAAATCAGCATACAATTTCATCCAAGGACATTGGATTAAGAATTTTTGCCTCAGGATAGACTTCTTTCTGTTTGATTCAAATCTGGGAAGGTAGGAGAAAACTTTCTTTTATATTATGCTTTCTTCCCTTCACCAGATTCAGGTCAGTTGGAACACTGAACTTTCTTAAACAAGGTTGCCATGATTATTTCCAGTGACCTTGCTAAACTTTAAAGAAACTGCAAAACATCAATTGGCTGTAGTCAGTCAGCCTCTAGACACATTGATGGCTCACCAGGCTTCTATACTGTGTCTTAATCCCCATTTTACAGAGAGAAAAACTAACTCTGTCCTAGGAATAATTTTTGTTTAGTATTAAGTAATACATGCTCATTTGAGAAAAAACTAGAAAATATAGGTAAGTCAAAAGAAAATTCCACTACCTTTGCCTGTCTTTCCAAACATTTTTAATGACTAAATGCATATATACTTACATATATACACTTGTAAAGCTCTATATATGTATATACACACACACATATATATGCATATATATATATATGTTATATATATTATTTGTGTGTGTGTGTGTGTGTGTGTGTGTGTGTGTGTGTGAGAACATACACTACAGATTGCTTGTAGTCTTTACTCACATCACATTATATTGAACTCTTTCCAGGATCATGGGCTTTTGACTTACACAAAAATTATAAGAATAGATTATAGTAGGCCTCATAGATCCCAAACTAATTAATCGGGGAACAAAACTGCTTCTGCGTGTTGCTACTACATTGTTTGAGCTTGAATGAAATCTGAATTTAATGAGGTTGGCTGGAGGAGCCACTAGAGGTTCTCAACCAACGGAGTGACAGGATGGGATGTCAGGAAGAGGAGTGAGCAGTAATGAGCATGACATAGTGGGAGAGATGGGGAGGCTGTTAACAGGTGCTCAGACCCAGAGAGCAGCGTGTATAGTCCTTGAACCAGCAGCTGTGATCCTCCACTGTCGGACCTCACCTGTTCTCCCACACACAGCCCAACTCTGGTCTTTCTCCACTTATGGCTCTTCTTTCTCTGTGAGCCTGCCTGCGATGTCCTTGTGCATCATGTCTATCCATCTTCTCCACATCTTTCTAGACCAGCTCACCTTGCCGTCTCTACAAAGCTTTTCTCTGGTTGTTTATTCCAATCCACTGTAACCTAGCCTCTTGATGAGGATAAATCCTTGGTCTTTTGTTAAAGACAGGTCTGCTTTTCCAACATTGATATGTCTTTTAAAAATACCTACAGTTTACTTTTCATCTTGACATACACTCCTAAGTGCCTTTACCAGCAGGTCTCAGGAAAATGGTCAATTCTACTAGAATTTTCATTGATTTGAGATGCAAGGGGCCATCTCGTGGCAGAAAGGGGAAATGCATGCTTTGCAAATACACAGTTGAAGGGATAAACTATGCTGACTTTTCTTTGTCTTTTGTTTTCGTGGTTCTCCTTTCTGAGATAGTTTCTTGGCACAGTTACCACTTAGGGCTGGATAATTCTGTTGTGGGATGCTGTCCTGTGCATTGAAGGATGTTTAGCAGCATCCCAGACATTGCCAAATGCTCCCCAAGAGGCAAAATCACCCCAGTTGAGAACTGCTGCTCTAACTTGAAAGTTCAAGCCCTAAGCCTGAAACCTGAATATTTTCTTCCTAGATGAAACCTGGAAAGAAAGGAAACTGGAAAGTAAATAGTGGATGAGCTCTCTTCCTCATAAAACCCAGCACATCTGCAGCCTTCATTGTAAAGGCTTGCACGTTTCCAGATCAGGTAGGTGGCCAAACTCAGATGCTTCCAAATTTCCTCCCCTGCCAGTTATTGAATGGCATTGTCCGGAAAAGAAAGGGGGACATAGGTCATCCAGTAAATCCGATACCTTTATTTTGAGGGAAGGAGAATTGAGGAATAAGAGTGTGATCTCTGTGTACGTAGCCTGCTGTAGGGCCCTGGGAATCTGATTTGATAGGCCTGAAACCTGAATGGGAAAGGGAACATATCTCATGACTGGGTAGCTTTGTTAGAGTTTTCAAAATGCATAATGGAACTATATGTGTCAATGAGGCCATAAAATTATGAATCTAGGTTGCTGATGGTGGGGACAGGGACAGGCAGAGCACAGGGGATATTTAAGGGTGAAGCTAGTCAATGTAATACTACAATGCTGGATGCAGGACATTATGAATTTGTCAAAACTCATGGAACCATTCAACACAAGAGTAAACCCTGATGTAAACTATGGACATTAGCTAACAATAATATATCAAGATTGGGGGCACCTGGGCTGCTCAGTCCGTTGAGCATGAGACTCTTGATTTCAACTCAGGTTATGATCCCAGGGTCATAGGGTCAAGCCCCGCGTTGGGCTCCACAATGAGTGTGGAGCCTGCTTAAGATTCTCTCTCTCTGTCTCTCTGTCTCTCTCTGTCTCTGCTCCTCTCCCTTGCTCACACTCTCTCTCTAAAATAGTATGTATATATACACACATATACATATAGGTACATCTACATACACACATGCACACACACACAGATTTTATATATAAAGATTAGTTCACCAATTATAACACACGTAGCACACCAGTGTAAGACGTTAGTAACAGGGTAGACTGGCTAGGGTAGGGGGATTCCCAATATATGGGAACTCTGAATACTTTCAGCTCAGTTTTTCTATAAATATAAAACTGCTATAAAAAATAAATTCTATTAGCTATTTTTATAAGTGTATATCTAGAAAAGTGGAGGTCAGACAAAGAGAGGAATCACGTCTGTAAATCTGTGAAACAGAACATACCCTTCTTGTGTTAAATAATGCAGAATCAAAATAAGAAGATTTTTTCGTCGTGCTTCTGTTCTCCTCTCACACTGTGAACAAACAGGAGAATTTAGATGGGACAACAATGAGATCTAACACTCTTTTGATAGCAATAAACCCTCGAAGGTAAATGTAACCTGTCAAAACCAAGAAGCATGACTTAAAGGCTGGAAGGCAGTTCAACGTCTCTAAGGATATGTAAAGTTATTTTCCATTGTCGTTTTCTTCTTAGAGCTGCCTTCTCAATTGTACACTGAAGGTACAATGATTTAAATTAGAATTGCACTTTACTAGTCAACTTCTTCCTGCCAAGCTAATTGGCATTTTATTGCTTATAAGTGCAAAGAAATGAGTATACACGCTCCTGTTTGGGCCAGGTTAAGGAAAGTGATGGTAAAGAGAAACTTGTGAGCTAGAAATCAGCTCTGACAGCACAGCATCTTTGGTTCACCCGGAGTCGCACCCAGTCCCAGCACAAAGTGGCCTTGAGTTCCAACAAGCCACTCAGCGGGTGACTACACAGCCAAACATTTAGCATACCCACTGAGAGCAGCAGAGGCCAGAAGACGGAAATTCCTGCGTAATAATGTCCTTATTCAAACTCGACGCATGTGTACGTTTATTCAGCATTCGTGTGCTGTGTTTAGGTATCAGGTATCTCAAATTCCCCTGAAATGTATTCATAAGACACCTACTTTCAGTAATACCTCCCTTATTTGTGAATAACTTACCTGACATCTTTTTCTAAGGAGCATACAGGTAAGAACTGGATAAAAACAAAAAAGGCCCCTCGGTGGCCCAAATAAACACGCTCATGACATGTATAAAGACTTTCAGACATTCATCCGAAGCTTTCTAAAAATTAATGTAATACAATTAAAACATGTGTGCAGTTATTTCAATCAAACAGTATTGGGGCGCCTGGGTGGCTTGGTTGGCTGAGCATCCGACTTCGGCTCAGGTCATGATCTTGCGGTCTGTGAGTTCGAGCCCCGCATCAGGCTCTGTGCTGACAGCTCAGAGCCTGGAGCCTGCTTGGATTCTGTGTCTCCCTCTCTCTCTGCCCCTCCCCTGCTCACACTCTGTCTCTGTCTCTCTCTCAAAAATAAATAAACATTAAAAAAAGAATCAAACAGTATTATAAATTATTTTTTTCTTACATCGCTTTTTTATGATGAAATATACATAACATAAAATTTACCATTTAAGCCATTTATAAGTACAGTTTAGTGGCATTGAGTACATTCATATTGTTGTTAAGCCATTGCTGCCATCCATCTCTAGAACTTTCTTCTCTCTCCCAACTGAAACTCTGTATTCATTAAACAATAATGCCCTAACCTCTTCCCCCTAAGCCCTGGCGCCCACCATTCTACCAGTCTACTTTCTGTCTCTATGAATTTGCCTTTACTACGTACCTCACGTAAGTGGACTCACTTCAACAGTATTTGTCCTTTCGTGTCTGGCTTATTTCATTTAGCATAATGTTGTCAGGGTTCATCCATGTTGTAATATGTGTCCAAATTTTCTTCCTTTTTAAGGCTGAATAATATAGTACTATAAATTTTTATTTTTATAATTTTCTTAGGATTGTATTTTCTTAAGTAATCTCTACCTCCAATGTGGGGCCCAACCTCGTAACCCCGAGACCAAGAGTCTCATGCTCCACTGACTGAGCCAGCCAGGCACCCCGATAAATTTTTAACAAAAAACAATAGACTGTGCCCCCACTCCACTAGCTCACTCCCCACTTCTCCCCTAGAGGCAACAACCTTAAATAGCTTAGCCGTTTCTTCTGACACTCACCTCCATGTTTCTAAATACATCACTGTTTTGCGATACGTGAACACTAGGCATTAACTGTTCACATCCTGTTAAGGTAGATGAGAACTACGTTGCCATCCAACTTCTCACCCTCCCCTCCCCACTACACTTATATCAATATTCAGTGCTTACATTATTATGAGCATGTAAATAATGTTCACTGCTGAGTCAGAAAGCACTTACCCATTTCTGTACATTATTTTTTCTTAGAATGAATAATTGCCCCATTTTTTTTGTAGCTTGGCTGTATACATATTACTAATTTTCAAACAGCAACACACCTCTAAAGTCCCCTCCTATCACTTTGTTCACCATCAAATACATCAGATAATGTGTCACATACACTTTCCCCATTCTTCCAAGGAATGCATTTTCCTTCAGTGCAAAAGAAATAGTCTCAGAATGCACGACAGGGAAGAAGGCTTAGGATTGCCCTATGGAGCTTCTGTTGCTTTAGCGTGTGTGTATATGGGTTGGGACCCAACCTAAAATGTCTTACAGTTGGGTCACAGTAACAGATTGAAAGTCACTACACAAAATGACATTTTCCTGATCTTAAGATATTCAACACTGGCCATTTTTGCTCATTTTTCTGAAGATGTTGACATAACACTCTTGATAAAGACTGAAGCTTTTCTAATTTACCATATTTAGTAACTTTGACTCTGATAGTCAAAATCTACTCCCCTCCCCACTCCGTTTTTGTTTGTTTGTTTGTTTGTTTGTTTTGTGTTTTGTTTTTTTGTAATTTGATTTGACTTGCTTGTAGTGCCATCTAGTGTATTAGGAGGGGAACACTTCATGAAATTTATGTTAGTTCCAAATTATTATTCGCATAAAAAATGACAATCATCGCAAAATTCAGTCCAAATCAGGTTTGCAAATAAAGATATAACCACATGTTAGAGAAGCAGTAATAAGATTGATAGGATATGTTTCTAAGTAGAAAAATTCTCAAGTTCAGGCTTGGGGTTTTGATACAGAATTTTAGAAGTCTAGAAGGTACTGGGAGAGCATTGAGTCTCAAGAACCTAAGATCCAGATAAATTAAGGGATTTGCTCAAAGCCTGCAGACTTGAGCTCAGAACCCAGTGCTCTTCCATCAGTTCCTCCCGGTTTAACCCCCTTCTCTTCAATCTCTGCTCCCACCCCTACACCTTGACTACAGACTAGAGAGAAACTGCTATTTTAATTTGCCAAAAACTGCCAAATTTGCTAAAATCAAACAACTGTGGTTACCAAATAGTCTTTCTTGGCTGACCTCACATAGTAACACACAAGTGGTGGCTCTTACAATTCCTCAAACCTAAAATCCCACAATTTTAGTGACCATTTCGAAGCAATTACTGGCTAGACCTCCTTCAAAAAGTCAGTCTCCCTGGTGCACCAGGAGTGTTGTGTCTCGTAGGATGATCATGCTTTTTAATTTCCGAATAGTCAGATTCCTGCTGTAAATGAAGCTAATCCATTTCACATGTATGTAAAGGTCTTTGAGAACAAAAGGATTGGAGCTAAAGAGCCATGAAAGCCATGCACGTTCTCAGAGGCGCGTCAGTGGACACTGGCTAGTGCCCTTTCCAACTGGGCAGTATTTTTGCAGACTGTGGGGTGCTGTGCCCGTATCAGGGTCAGTGATTGGTGGGTGCTCAACAGCTGTTAGTTGCTTGTTCGTATAATTCAGAGTCTCTCCATCCTTCACTCTGGAAGCATGCACTTCTTAATCTAAACGTGCACAGGTGCACATGTTCTCTTATGAGTAGGATGCTGAGAAAAATTAGCTAAGGAGCGTTTTGCTTTTGTTCCTCAGTACTGCACACACCGCACTGTGTTTGGATGATAGCTCTAGATTTCCTAAAGAGGAAGGTCTGGGTAGAGCCAGAAAACTTATTATGTGAACAGAAAAGATCTTGAGAGGGATGTTTTTAAAAGGGGATGGGAGGGGCGCCTGGGTGGCTTGGTTGGTTAAGCGTCCGACTTCAGCTCAGGTCATGATCTCACGGTCCGTGAGTTCGAGCCCAGCGTCGGGCTCTGTGCTGACAGTTTAGAGCCTGGAGCCTGTTTCAGATTCTGTCTCCCTCTCTCTCTGCCCCTCCCCTGTTCATTCTCTGTCTCTCTCTGTCTCAAAAATAAATAAATGTTAAAAAAAAATTTTTTAAAAAAGGGGGGGATGGGAGGGAGCGCCTGGCTGGCTCAGTTGATCTGAGCATGCGACTCTTGATCTTAGGGTGGTGAGTTCAAGCCCCACACTGGGCATAGAGCTCACAAAGAAAGAAAGAAAGAAAGAAAGGAAGAAAGAAAAAAAAGTGGGGGATGGGAGGGCTGGGGAGGATGGAAGAATGGGGTGGGTAACAGTTAAGGGATGTACAGTTTCTTTTTGGGGTAGTGAAGATGTTCTGAAATTACCGTGGTGATGGTTGTATGTGTACCTCTGTAAATATACCTCGGGTGAGTTGTCTGATATGTGAATTATATCTCAAATAAGACTGTTTTAAAATTCAAAAAAAAAAAATGGAGAGAGGTAGAGAAAAAAAAGACTAAAATGAATGTAAATAATTTGAGTAACTTTTTTACCCTGATTCACAAAACAAATGGTCTGACTGAAAATAGAAATCCTTTTGTGCAACATTTTGAAGTGATTCAAAATGGAAATGGTGGGGAGAAAGAGCTGCTGATCACCCACATCGCTGTGAGAGCCTGCTCCCCACCCTGGCGGCAGGGCCCGGGCCGGTCCTGGTCCCGGGTCCCGTCGTGGGATGCGGCGACCACTGGCGCTCGTTTATGTGCTCTGATCAATCAGCTATGTCCAGCCAGCGAGCCCAGAGTGAGCACTGGGTAGATGTGCTGGACAGAAAAGAAAACACGAAACCCTCTGGGCAGACATTTCCCTGTACTGTATACTTTTTGGTTTTGTCATCATGGGCCATGCACATAAAAGTTGAAGAAACCACCTTAGGGGCACCTGGGTGGCTCGGTTGGTTAAGCCTCCGGCTTCAGCTCGGGTCATGATCTCATGGTTTGTGAGTTTGAGCCCCGTGCCAGGATCCGGGCTGACAGCTCAGAGCCTGGAGCCTGCTTTGGATTCTGTGTCTCCCTTTCACTCTGCCCCAACGCCCGCTCATGCTCTGTCTCTGTCTGTCTCTCAAAAATAAATGAAGATTAAAAAAAATTTTTTTAAGTATTTTAAAAAACGCCCGCTCATGCTCTGTCTCTGTCTCTCTGTCTCTTAAAAAATAAATGAAGATTAAAAAAATTTTTTTAAGTATTTAAAGAAAAGTTGAAGAAATCACCTTAAATATTGTTAATATTTCTTCAGTTCATTGGACAAAAATAAGACTCTTTCAGTAAAACAAAAATTCCTTTTTTTTTTTTTTTTTACAGAGAGAATGTGTGTGCATGTACGTGAGTGGGGGACAGGGGAGAGGGAGAGGGGGAGAGAGAGAGAGAGAGAGAGAGAGAGAGAGAGAATCTTAAGCAGGCTCCATGCCCAGCCCCAAGCCCAAACGTGGGGCTCAATCCCATGACCCTGGGGTCATGACCTGGGTGGAAATCATGAGTCCCACGCTCACCTGACTGAGCCACCCAGGCGCCCCTCACATTTCTTTAAAAGAAAGATCTTTTAAAGATCTGGCAAGGTCTGAAAGAATATGCTCTCACATATGACTGGTGGAAATGTAAACTAGTGCAAACCTTTTATAGAGCAAATTGGCAAAATCTATCAAAGTGAAAAACGCACAGACTCCTTGACCCAGCAATTCCACTCCTAGTAATTTCCATTGTAGAAGATCAATTATATTATATCGTAGAAATAGTCCATGTATGCACAGTGATTAATGTTCAAGGATGTTTAATACAACATTATTCGCGTTCGCAAAAAAATAGCAATAGGCTATAGACATCCATCAGTGGTTAAATAAGTCACGGCGCAAGCTCACCGTGGAAAGCAAGGCACCGGTGAGAAGAATGAGCCGGATCTATTCACACCGCTGAGGAAAGATTCTGAGCACGTCGTGTTTTCGTTCCACCCACTCACTGGGGGGGGGGGGGGGGGGGGGGGGGGGGGGGGGGGGGGGGGGGG